TCGTCGTCTGCCAATCTGCGATTTATTGAATGCTGAGTAGTGCTGGACATTGGGGGAAAATATACTTTGTTTTTAGCAAGCAGCCATCTCAGCAAGTCGAACAGGACGCCACTGCTCACAAGATGGGCCAGACGTGATCACAGGCTCAACAGGAATTATTGGCTTCGTTGTTAAAACACAGGGAACAAGGAAAGCTGGCTTCTCTTCCTGGAGTGAGAACTTCACATTAGTCTTTTGTGCTTCAGTTTTTGTGTCTGTACAATGGGTACAACTGCTAAACACCCTGTTTCCACTTAAGGATTGCAGGGCTGACTTTGTTAAGAGCTGTAAAGAACAGGGAAACCCTTAAACAAAAAGTGCTGCAACATTTTGTAAATTATGAGTATATTAAATGTATTGTACACAAAGTATCACAATATAACATGTACTAATACTCCAACTGGTATGAGCTTAAACAAGATATGCATATATATATATATAGAGTGTATAGTCCTGTTGTTGTTTAGTCGTTTAGTCGTGTCCAACTCTTCATGCCCCATGGACCAGAGCACGCCAGGCACTCCTGTCTTCCACTGCCTCCCGCAGTTTGGTCAAACTCATGCTGGTAGCTTCATGTTAGCAGCTTCCAGAACACTGGAATTCATGTTAGCAGCTTCCAGAACACTGTCCAACCATCTCATCCTCTGTCGTCCCCTTCTCCTTGTGCCCTCCATCTTTCCCAACATCTGGGTCTTTTCCAGGGAGTCTTCTCTTCTCATGTGGTGGCCAGAGTATTGGAGCCTCAGCTTCACAATCCGCCCTTCCAGTGAGCACTCAGGGCTGATTTCCTTTAGAATGGATAGGTTTGGTCTTCTTGCAGTCCACGGGACTCTCAAGAGTCTCCTCCTGGACCAGAATTCAAAAGTGTACAGTCCTACAAATCACTATTTAATGTCTCCATTGAATAGTATAACAATATTGTACTGAAGTCGAGAGTGTTGGTTCTCTGTGTTCTAGTTGAAAAACGTGTACTTGGAGGATTCTGACGACGAGACATATGGGTAAAATCTCTGTTTCGTCAGGTCGGTCCCAGTACATTGCTAAATGATACATGCCATGCTGTTGATGACTAATATAATACAATCCAATATGCAAAAAGCCACATATTCAAGTATTACACTTACATATACAGTCAAGCCTTGGTTCCTGGATGGCTTACTTGCCGAACAAATTGGCTCCCAAACACTGCAAACCCAGAAGTAAGTGTTCTGGTTTGAGAACGTTTCTCAGAAGCCGAACATCCTGCGCGGCTGCTGCTTGAGTGTAAGAAGCTCCTGCAGCCAATCGGAAGCCGCGCCTTGGATTTCAAATGGTTTTGGGAGTCGAATGGACTCCCGGAATGGATTAAGTTCGAGAACCAAGGTTCCACTTTATAGGCAACTAAACGCTCAACAATTAGGTCAGCTCCTGCCTTGCGAGGGTGCTCAGCTCCTGGTGAAATGCTGACTCAGATACTAATTCTGTGCTACAAGGGTGCTGTTAAGTTGTGGGTGAACATATCAGACGACACAGCGATTCTTCAAACAGCTCTTTATTCAGAGGCCACAACAGAACTGAACTGAAGGGCTCAGTCAGCCTGCTTATATAGAGCTCCAGTACAACGTTACTGTAAGCAACTTTCTAAAACTATCCAATCACTGAACGTCACTTTCGATCCTTCATTTGCATAACTATCTACAGTATCCATCCAATCACTGAATGTCACTTTCGATCCTTCATTTGCATAACTATCTACAGTATCCCCCTGCTGGCCCAGGGTGAGAACTTCAGTACATAACAGGTGCCATCTCTCCCACAGGATTGTGGGTGCCCGCCGCTGCAATGTGGATGTGCCGTTTGCCCTCCTATGTGTGTGACATCATATTGGGTTCATAGGGAAAGGTTTAACTAATTGTAAAATGACTAACCAATGGGAACCCAGGGGGCAGAGTTAACTGTGTATAAGGTTTAAGCACAAAGGTTTTTTAGTGAGTTAGAGTTGTTGAGAAGACAGTCTGGAGTTAGAAGAGACAGAGAAGAAAAGTCTGTGGGTTGGGCTAGTCTGGTGGGAGAGAGTGAGAGAATTTGTTAAGAGGAGTCAGTCAAACAGTTGAGATAATCAGTCAGATGGTATTAGGAAGGTATAGGCCGGTAAAGAAACTAAAGTTAAGATACTGACAGGAATATTATCTGAGAAACCTGTTAAGTTGTGGGTGAACGTATCAGACGACACAGCGATTCTTCAGACAGCTCTTGTTTATTCACAGGCCAGAACAGAACTGGGCTGAAGGGTTCAGCCAACCTGCTTATATAGAGCTCAACTACAACGCAACAGTATCAACTTTCTGTAACTATCGAATCACTGAACGTCACTTTCAATTCCCCATTTGCATACGGGGACCTGAGTGAAAACTATCTACAGTATCCCCCTGCTGGCCCAGGGTGAGAACTTCAGTACATAACAAAACCATAAACTTGTTAACGTTTGTAAAATAAACTTGTGTTTTTTTTGGTTCACTTTTAACAACTGACTGGACGCAGTGTTTTACCAGAGAGTAACTGGTTGGTGGCGGCGGGGAAGTGAGCACAGTGGTGGCACAGGGATCAATAGACCGTTAAACGTCCGGGGACCCTGTGTGATCGCCACAGGAGACATGCGATGTTACACCTGCAGGCAGGTTTTTGTTGTGGCGGCTCCTCATCCTCCTCCTCTCCGCAGCCAGAGAGGCACCCTTTTCCGTGGGGAGGGGCATGGACCCTTTGCCTCCATATCCGAGGTGCCCCTTCCCAGAAAAGGGTGCCTCGCTTGCTGCCTAAGGAGGGTGGAGCTGAACTGCTCTCTCTTAGAGCAGTGCTGCTGCTGCCTGCTGGCTTTTCTCACTGACTTTGTGGGTGCCCAACCCGCACAAGTATATACAGTTGTACCTTGGAAGTCAAACAGGATTTGTTCCAGAAGTCTGTTCGACTTCCAAAACATTCGGAAAACAAAGTGCGGCTTCCGATTGACTACAGGAAGCTCCTGCAGCCCGTCGGAAGCTGCGTAAGCCGTTTCAGACGTTCGGGTTCCAATGAACATTCACAAATCAGAACAGTCGCTTCCGGGTTTGCGGCGTTTGGGAGCAAAATGTTCGACTTGCAAGGCGTTTGGGATCCAAGGTATGACTGTACTCTTATTTTCCATATACAGAATTGTGTTTTATGAGGTTTTTCTCTCTGTATTCCCTGGTTTGTAAAATGGCAACTTTCTACAATATGTTGACTAGCCTTCTTGAACACTAGAAAAGAGCACCTCAATATACATTATGTCTTCCTTTAAAACTATCCTACACACTTAAAGAGGATGCGGGTGGTGCTGTGGGTTAAACCACAGAGCCTAGAACTTGCTGATCAGAAGGTCGGCGGTTCGAATCCCCGTGACGGGGTGAGCTCCCGTTGCTTGGTCCTTGCTCCTTCCAACCTAGCAGTTCAAAAGCACGTCAAAGTGCAAGTAGATAAATAGGTACCGCTCTGGCAGGAAGGTAAACGGCGTTTCTGTGCGCTGCTCTGGTTCGCCAGAAGCGGCTTAGTCATGCTGGCCACATGACCTGGAAGCTGTACGCCAGCTGCCTCGGCCAATAAAGCGAGATGAGCGCTGCAACCCCAGAGTCGGTCACAACTGGACCTAATGGTCAGGGGTCCCTTTACCTTTACCTTTTTACACACTTAAGAAAAAAACAAAGCAAAACTTTCTTTTCCCAGATGGAGGAAAAAAGGACTACCATTATCCTACAGAGCCACATGCCGTTTTAGATACAAGTAATGAAAAATGGAGGATCAATGCCCTGGGGATATATATTATCTATATTAGACACCCTGTAATAAATCTTTGGAGCAAAGCTATTTTATGCTTGATTTGCTCTGAACGTGTCGTTCCCATTTAGCATCAGCTCTTCAAAGCAGATGCCAAAATGGGGGCACTGGCTGGAACAGGAGCTGTATTGAAAGAGTCCTTGCTTCCTCAACTACAGCTTCACTCATGAGTCTGCTGATCAAGCAGTATATTGAGTCTTGTATAAATGGAAGAACTCTACTTCAGGAGATGGCAACTGGCACAGGGTGCCATTCAAAGAAGTAATCCATTAAAAGGCAGGGCTGTCAAAACTTTTGATCTTCACTTCCTGATGGGGCCACTGCAAGAGGCGTGAAGCTGCAGCAGATGGAGCGATTGTACTTGACCCACCATGGCTGCTCTTAAGCCTGTGTGCAACTTGAGCAAAAACATAAATTCATGCTAAAGGACTGTTACAAGCAAGATAAAACATGGTAGCTCTGCGTCTAAAGAAAGTGCATAGATTTTAGTACGTAACCCATGCACTGAGGGCACTTGGCCAATAAGAAGATGTTGTTCTGAAAGAAAAGGAGTGGAGACAAATATAGTGGAGACTCTAGTGGAGGAGAAAATGCAGAAGAAATAAGCAACTGGGGGAGTGGTTTTATAGGACTCAGGATCAATATTTCCATTTCCCCCAGGAAAACCTGCTGTTTACCGCTGAATCAGAACAAGTGGCAATTGGGTTTTCTGAGAATTGCCATTCTGGTTCAGCAGTGAAAAGTGTGTTTTTCAGGGAAAAGCTATGGGGCAAATGTAAAACCGTTTGGCCCTGTGCTTTCTAGGCACGGGGCAAGCGGAAGCATGGACAAGCCTTAAGTGCCACCCACTATCATTTCACAGTGGGGACTGAGCCCCCTGGAAGCGGGTGGGCAAGTGGGTGGCAGGGCCCTTCCTTGGGCTTATTCCTTGCTGTCCCAGCCTTTACTTCTGGGCCCCACCTTCTAGGGCAATGGTTTTCAAAAGGTGTGGTGCGCCACACTGGCGTGCCAGGAGAGGATGGCAATTGTGGCAGAGAGATTCAAGGACAAACAAAGGAACATGTAAACATTTCAGTATGGTGTATTATAATATCTATCTCTATATCTATCTCTATCATCTATCTATCTAATCATCTATCTATCCATCTATCTATCTATCTATCTATCTATGGAGATAGATGATAGATAGATAGATGATAGATAGATAGATGATATCTATCTGTCTATCTATCTATCATCTATCTATCTATCTATCTATCTATCTATCTATCTATCTATCATCTATCTATCTATCTATCTATCATCTATCTATCTATCTATCTATCTATCTATCTATCTATCATCTATCTATTTACCTATCTCCATAGATAGATATAGACAGATAGATGATTAGATAGATAGATAGACAGATAAATGATATCTATCTATCTATCTATCTATCATCTATCATCTATCTATATCTAATTATCTATCTATCTATCTATCTATCTATCTATCTATCTATCTATCATCTATCTATCTACCGGTATCTATCTATCATCATCTAATCATCTGTCTATCTATCTATCTATCTATCTATCTATCTATCTATCTATCTAGATGATAGATAGATATAGATATAGATATAGATATAGATATAGATATAGATATAGATATACAACCAGAAACAGTATTGACGCCTCTCTTCAAGTGCATTGGCTATTCTTCTACAGTTCTCCATGACATATTGTTGTGAACAGGGATTTTCAACTCTGACAAATATGAAAGCTCAGAAGAGAGAAAGGCTTCTTTCTGTTGATGAGGAGACGAGACTTTGTCTCAAATTAGACCTAAAATGAGCCTACCCAGCAAAAGCAAACTCACACCTCTCATGACTTTGCATACATACTTAAGGAACATGTGTAAGAGGCTCGTTTATAAATTATATTTTGGGGATGATTTATGTTCTTATGCAGCTGCAGTGTTTTGTACTTTCTGGACATCCCATGATCATATTATAAAGCAGTTGTGCTCTGTGTTATAGATCAAGCACTGCTTGGATTTGTTTCTTTTTTGTTTTCCAATGTACCGTATTTCCTACCAATAAAAAAAATGTCGTGTGGCATGAACAAATTTTTATTCTGAAAGTGTGGCCCAGAGAAAAACCTTTGAGAAAAGTGAAATAACACCAACGATAACAGAATGGTAGACACTTATGATAGAATATTTCCAACTAGCAAAGTTGACGGGAAAAGTCAGGGGAGTTTTAAATCAGAAAACATATGGAGAATGGAAAATATTTAAGGAATATATAAGATTATATTGTAAAAATAATACCATTTTAGCGGAACTTGAATGATACTTGTGAACAAGAATGAATGAAACAAATACTTTATGTAATAAATGTAGGGGTTGCTCGTGCGCAAGTTGGTGCCACTCCTGGCTAGGTTGCCTTGTTAAACCTTTTCTGTCTGGACAGCCCTGCGCTTCGTGGCTGTTCAGTCGCTAGCAGAATCCGTCAGCGGGCGTTTCTTAAACCTTTTCCAGCATAAAAGTTGTTTGACTCCAAGTCTCCTCCTACTCTCCCTGCGTGGAAGCCTTCTGCGCAGGGAGGGCGTGGGTAGCGGAGGACCCGTGCTCTCCTCGCTGATCTCTGGCGAGGAGTCCTGGAGCCCCCTCGCCGATTCCCCCATCTGCCCCCCTTTATCCCTGGTGTTACGCTGATTTCTTTCCCCAACTGGTGAGCCGCCTCTCCCCCTGCTGGGCCCTTCTCCAGCATCGCTTGAGAGCCTCGCCTCCGCCTCTGGCTCCGATGTCAGTTCCCTGACACTTTAGTGGAATGTATGAAAAAGAAAATAAAGTAAAGCTGCGCGATAAAACCATGACAATAGAAACAGTAAAATGAGAACGATTGGAAGTTTTATGCAGAAATTTTTATTTGAGGGATATGATTTTGTACAAAGTTTTGAATCTTTTTCTTTTCCCCCTTTTCTTAATACTACTAATAATAATTTATTATTTATACCCCGCCCATCTGGCTGAGTTTCCCCAGCCACTCTGGGCGGCTTCCAATCAAGTGTTAAAAACAATACAGCATTTACTATTGTCTTTTTTTAAAAAAATCTTACTTTTATGTCTTGATGTTATCTTTTTTTGTATGTAACTTTTCTATACTTACTTTCGTTGTACGTTTGTATTTTAAACCAATAAAGATTTACCATGGAAAAAAGAGGCGGGGGGGAGAGAACTTCTGTTCTGGTGGGCCATTGTGACTCATGAGCAAAAGCAGTTTGCTTCTCCTCCTCAGTGCAGTGCTGGGTTCGCCTGCTTTGCCTGATAGTGGCAGCAGCCGTGGCAAATGAAGGTGATTCTTTCAAGGGAGGGAAAGGAGTAAGTTTCAGGCCGGCCAGCCAGCATGCCTGCCAGTGCAACAAGGAGGAGGCGGACCAGCAGTGAGTGGCAGTGGACCAGGGCGAAGAGGGTCCCCCTGCAGGATTTTGTGAACACCTCAGAGAAGATCCCAGTACAGTGGTACCTTGGGTTACAGACACTTCAGGTTACACACTCCACTAAGCCAGAAATAGTGCTTCAGGTTAAGAATTTTGCTTCAGGATGAGAACAGAAATCGTGCTTCGGCGGCACGGCAGCAGCAGGAGGCCCCATTAGCTAAAGTGGTGCTTCAGGTTAACAACAGTTTCAGGTTAAGAACGGACCTCCAGAACGAATTAAGTTCTTAACCTGAGGCACCACTGTACTGTTATGAGCATTATAAGGTCTAAGATATAAAATAAATGTACCAAGCAAACACATACATAAATATATAAATCACATGTCTGAAACAGTACAGGAAAAAAAGTCCTGGAACCATTTTGTCTCTCCCAAATTGACCTCAAATGTTTCTCTGCAAGGAGAAATGGGAAAAACCTCCCCAAGGTCTCTTTGTTCAGAAGTCCTGCCTTAAGGGCACATTTAATATATGAATAGGGTGAGCATGTGACCTGGACTCAGGAATTAAGTATTTAGCATCACAAAAGAATGGCCAGGCTGTCCAGGTAAACCCATTAACAGGTTTCCTGCCAGACAGGATTCTGTTGTAGACTGCCCCTTCTGTGATGTATGTGTGACGTTTTGGGGGTTGGTCTTGGGCTACAAGGTGGGCAATTTCAAAAGTCTATATAAGGGCTTGCGCACCATTGTTCGGGGTTCCTCCTCCCTCGTGCGTGTGGTGAGTGGGGACCCTGTTGCAACAGTTTAATAAAGATCAGGCTTACTAGCTGCTTTGCTTCTCAATATTCTCTAGTTTGCCTCTGTTATTTTCTACCGATAGAGAACCTACAGAAGGACTCTATATGGGTTCTTGGGTATCCCATAAGGGAAAAGGAGCAGTTTTTTTTCTTATAACAATACGTAGCCTAGGTTCCACTGCCTATACTGAGAGCCAATACAGTAAGAGCAAATTTTATGATTACCAGATCTTGGTCCTCTTTCTTCTGTTACAGCGATATGGTGGTATTTTATGGTCCCATGATGTAACATTTGGCAGAAGCTGATACAAGTGCCCCTTATTAACATTCAGCTTCTTAAGCGAGCATGACTTGCCCTCCTTGAGTTAGAGTTCACTCTGTCCTATAGTGCTATTGTCCAATCATGCCTGTCTGAAATGATTTATCTATGTTACTTACACTTCTTTTTAAATTTGGAAAGAATTATAGTCACAGGGCCGGAACAGATACAAAGGTCAATTTCAGTAGATGATCCTTGACAAAAAAATGTTTTTTTAAAGGGCCTACCAAGAAAATTTATTTATGACATTTACGCGTAGCTTTTAACTTACCCGAAGTGCCTCTAGGCAACATATGAGAAATGGTGGTGTTGTTTTTAAAGCAGTAAACAACCCACACAAATAAAAACAGCCAAACAGTGCAGGCCAATTTAAGTTGTCACCCCCAGCAAATAACATAAGGTAAAGGGACCCCTGACCATTAGGTCCAGTCGTGGCTGACTCTGGGGTTGCGGCGCTCATCTCGCTTTATTGGCCGAGGGAGCCGGCGTACAGCTTCCGGGTCGTGTGGCCAGCATGACTAAGCTGCTTCTGGCGAACCAGAGCAGCGCTAGAGCACCGTTTACCTTCCCGCCAGAGTGGTACCTATTTATCTACTTGTACTTTGTGCCTTCGAACTGCTAGGTTGGCAGGAGCAGGGACCGAGCAACGGGAGCTCACCCCGTCGCAGGGATTCGAACCACTGATCTTCTGATCGGCAAGTCCTAGGCTCTGTGGTTTAACCCACAGCGCCACCCACGTCCCTTAGCAAATAACATATTGGAGGGCAAATATATTTTCAGCTGGAAATTAAACAAGACCTATCAGACCTTCCTTGGCAGGAAGTTGCAAAGTGGGGGGCCTATAGCTGAAAAGGCCTTATTGTGCCCCATTTGAATTCTTATCACCATTGTTGTTGTTGTTTAGTTGTTTAGTCGTGTCCAACTCTTTGTGACCCCATGGACCAGAGCACGCCAGGCACTCCTGTCTTCCACTGCCTCCCACAGTTTGGTCAAACTCATTCTGGTAGCTTCAAGAACACTGTCCAACCATCTCATCCTCTGTCGTCCCCTTCCCCTTGTGCTCTCCATCTTTCCCAACATCAGGGTCTTTTCCAGGGAGTCTTCTCTTCTCATGATGTGGCCAAAGTATTGGAGCCTCAGCTTCAGGATCTGTCCTTCCAGTGAGCACTCAGGGCTGATTTCCTTCAGAATGGATAGGTTTGATCTTCTTGCAGTCCATGGGACTCTCAAGAGTCTCCTCCAGCACCATAATTCAAAAGCATCCATTCTTTGGCGATCAGCCTTCTTTATGTCCAGCTCTCACTTCCATACATCACTACTGGGAAAACAATATTACAGTGGTACCTCGGGTTAAGTACTTAATTCGTTCCGGAGGTACTTAACCTGAAACTGTTCTTAACCTGAAGCACCACTTTAGCTAATGGGGCCTCCTCCTGCTGCCGCGCCGCCGGAGCACAATTTCTGTTCTCATCCTGAAGCAAAGTTCTTAACCTGAAGCACTATTTCTGGGTTAGCGGAGTCTGTAACCTGAAGCGTATGTAACCTGAAGCACCACTTTAGCTAATGGGGCCTCCTGCTGCTGCCGCGCCGCCGGAGCACGATTTCTGTTCTCATCCTGAAGCAAAGTTCTTAACCTGAAGCACTATTTCTGGGTTAGCGTAACCTGAAGTGTATGTAACCTGAAGCATATGTAACCCGAGGTACCACTGTAGTGGGTATCATTTAGGTATCATTCACTATATGTTGGATTAGCCTTAACACCTGCTGCCATCTTGTGTATAAAAATGTGTACTGCAGTTCTGTGGATGGTTTCTTATCTATCATCTATATCTATCTATCTACAGTCTATCTATCTACCTA